TCTTTTTTTTTTCTTAGCACTGAAGTTTGTTTTTTTCTTTTATTGTATTTCATATTCAAGACTTTATTGTATTAAACAGGTGTATATATATAGTAGTTGACCTCTACTATACAGGCATATAATTGAATTAACTTAATGTTGGGTAGTTCAAATATACGACTCCTAACAAAAAAGTAGTACAAGACTTTTGAAGTGCATTGTATCTTTTTTTTTTCAAGTGAAGCAATAAAAAAAACTTACTATGCAATACATACATATGCAATGGAGTTTCACGACGAAATATCATATATTCAATGGGTAATGGTTTTAACCCAAAGAATCCTTCATCAAGTTGATATCGAATAATATCAATAGCAACAATTAATTGTATATGAGGATTACGATATTTACCGATGGTTAATAATTGACATGTACCACAACCAATATCAAGTAATGAATGAAGACTATGATCATGTTGAATTATATCAAGTGTGAACATATAACGTTGTCAATAGAGAGGTGGATTAAAATGAATTCCACCTTCATGATCAGGAATATGATGTAAAGATGAATCTGATGTTTGAGTGTTATTAGAAGCTGATGAACTTTCCTCAGTTGATAACATATCTAAAACAATGATGATTATCTATTAGAATTTTCCTTATGAAAAAAAAAAAGATTCATTAATTGAATTTTATGAATATGAGATAATTCTCAATTTATATTGACAGATACACATATAAGGTGTTGAGAAAAAGTTTAACCCCAACGTTTTTTTTTTCTATAATATTAAGTAATTAGCGCAAATCCAGATAGCGAGTAAGATTTCTAAAAAAAAACCGGACACGGTAACTTTCAGATCAAAGAAAGACTATTTGTGAACAGTCCTATTTTCTATGATCTTCTCGTAAAAAAAGTTAAAATTATCACAACAACCGAAAAAAAGCGGTTTTTTTTGTGATACCCTCAACTTTGTGAGGGAAGGTTGTAAAAACTGCGGCAACTCACCATTTTGTGCTCTTTAAAATGCCATTGTTAAAAAATAGTCTTCTGCGACTCGAAAGCTACCATATCTCATGTTTTTAGAAACTTTACCATCATAGTGCATCTATCAAATTTTGGTAAAAGAAAACTCCATTGCCTATTAAAATCACTATCTGAATTTGCACTAATTACTTAACATAAAAAATATCAAAAATATATTATTGTTAAACTTTTTCACTAGCATATATACTTCTTTTAGTATTAGTTGTTAATGAGAATGTTACTCTGATGCTTTATTTTGTCTTGAAACTTATTTATGAATCTATAAAGTGCTATATTTTTGTTCATTATTTCATGTGTGAAAAATAATCTTGACTGTTCTATAGATGTTATTCCAAAAAAAAATTCTTCACAATCACTCGGACTCGGTCGGAATCGGAGTCTGATGTAGGGCTCTACTATATAAATGTAACATTTATGAATGTTTCCTTTCTATGCTTGTTAATTCTATTCTTCGGACTACTTTTTTTTCCTAGCCTATGATTGTACGAAAGTGTCAATGTAGTCTTCTTCGTATAAGATTAATGAGATTGAGAAAGAGTTTCAAAATATGACCTTAATTTAAATTTCTATTCTGTAATATAATACTAATCTTCAATATTAAAAACTCAAGTAGTTTTAATGAGTTCAAAGTAACATCTAACAATAAGAATGAATATATTAATGGATAGAGTTAGAATTTAATTAACTCTTCGATGAAAAAAAAACAAAATGTTTGTTTAAAATGTGATTAAATCTACCGACAGAATATTTAATTAATCAAATATAAACAATATTTCAATATAGTGTGTATGCTCATCCGAAAAAGTAGCTCAGATAAGTGAAACAATAGCAAATGCTCCATGATTGGCTCTTTGATTTTTGAGAGGGGCCAGATATAATTTTGATCACATATTGTAGGGAAAATTTTTCTCTATCGAACTGCGTTTTTGATTTTTTTTTAAAAGTGGCAAGTAATGACACAAAACGTCATTAAAGATGAGATTGTAGCGACCTCGTAATGGTGTATTTTCTTTTATTGAGTTAAGTCTCATTACTTGCCTTTTTTAAAAAAAAACCAAGAACACAGTTCGATAGAGAAAAATTTTCTCTACAATATGTGATCAAACTTATATCGGGCCCCTCTCAAAAAATCAAAGAGCCAATCATGGAGCATTTGCTATTGATTCGATGAGTCATCGGGCTCAGCGTACATACTAATAGTATTTTTTTTATCTTCATATGAACACGAAAATGGAAAAACTCAAGTCAACTGACGATGTACATGCTAATTCATTATTTTTTATAAAACGAGGTATTTTAAATTTTATTTTTGCTAAAATGTTTAACATAAATTTTTTACTATAAAATTCATATTATTATTTAAGATCGTTGAGAACAACAGGCTATGGTTCATAAGATTACATCACGTATATCAAAATTTAGTGTTGGTCTTGATCTTGACCATGCTGATCTAGTATGTAGAAAAATTTTTTATTGTTTTCTATGCTAACTATCTTGATATATATTAGGCAGCTTTTGCTAAACAAGTTTTCAGCTTTTTTTGTCACAGTAGGGTGTGGGTGTGGGTGTGGGTGTGGGTGTGGGTACCGGTATGGGTGTATGGTAGGGTGTGGGTGCCGGTGCAGATGTGTGGTGGGGTGTGGGTGTAGGTGCTTCTCTTCCTGTATTATCCTCACACTCGCACCCGCTTACCACACCCTACATACCCACACCCACAAACTCACCTATACCCACACACCCGCTCCGACACCAACACTCACGCACAATAAACAGAAATAATTTTGGTTTTTACTATCAAATTTTTTCTTGTTGCCTGTTAGCGTCAACAGATGTCGCATTATGACGCTAACTTATGTCCAGT